ATATGAGGGCCTCTCTCTTTCGTAATGATCCCTGGAAAATGTTTTTAATTGGGGGTATTTTGTGAACCATGGCATGAAGGTGCCATATATTTAGTGGCTGCTACTGTTAGTGGAAAGGAATGCAGAATTACTTTAAGGAGTCAAATGTACTTTAAAACTATTTAGAATTGTAATTTGATGTATTTTTATTTTTAATGTTCAGGTTAATGGAGGTGGACGATATAAAAACTGGGGTTGTTGAAGGTGTTTCGGCAAGTGATTTCAGTTGTATTGAACTTGCGTTGCCTAATTTATTTTCTCAATTGAGGTTAAGATACAAACAAAAAAGTATTAAGGTTGATAAAATATTGATAAAATATTCTCCCCTTTGCGCACCCAATACTAGTGGGTTGGTTAGAGTAAATGTTTATGATCGGAGGTTAGACGGTAATGACAGTTTGCAGGCATGGTTTATTTTCCCAGTAGATTGTCAATGCGAGTTAGTCTATTATGGGAATGGTTATTGTTCAATTAACGACATACAGGTGCCATGGATGGTGAAGTATCGACTTGAAAATTCCAATATTAAAATGGGGGTTACGTATTGTAAAATGAAAGGGTATCTGAAGTATTCTACGAGTGACATGCAAGAAGATTCGCAAATGAGAGCCCCCTCTATTGTTGTGTTATCTAAAAAATATACTAATGATAATGTTGATGTCTGGCATTGTCCTCCAACAAAGGCCATTCCAATTCTGACACGGACTAAGTCTGTTGGTTTATCGGAGAGGCGAAGAGATTTGTTGTTAGGAGGTTTTGGGGAAAGTGGTTAGTAAATCCGTAAGCCACATTAAGCCATATTTAGGAAAAATTCTTACAACTCTCACTTACCATACAAAAAACACTCAGTTCTAAAGCAAAGGTTCCACTTGGAAATAGCATCATTAGTACCAATAAACACCTTTAGCCACTTTTGTCTATTTTCAAGTAGATAGCACAAACAGTCTTGGAAGACACTCCCTCAAAGATGAACTGAAAATATGGGCAACCTTTAGTTACATAGCAGTAGCATTATTATAGCAGGTTCTTTTATTAGTTCCTACCATCATTCATTTTATCAGTTTCCAAAATCAACATGTTCCTTTATCAGTTCCCCTTGCAAGCCTCCAAGGCTTGCTGAAATTGCACTGTGAATAACTTAGGCACCGAAATTGCACTGAAATTGCTATTAACATAGGCTTGCACTGTGAATAACTTAAGCTTGCCTTGTAGTTTACTAAACTTACTTAACCAGTCAAATGAATAACTTGCAGAAGTTTACTTAACTTACTACAATAGTTTATTAACCTTCATAACTTGCTATTTCTCCGTTTTTGCAGATGTCAAGTTCAAATGTCAATGGCAATAGCTCAGATTGGTTGACATATGTCAACAAAAATTGTCGTAGATGTAATAAAAAGGCCATTATTCAAATTTCTGAGACCGATTGAAACAAGAACAAGTTATTCTACTCTTATAGTGATTGTGGTTGTTTTGTTGGATGGTGTTTGCCTACGAATTCAGAATATGGAGGTCATCAAATTCCAAGAGAAGAAGTGCCAATTGTCGGCGAACAAGTTATGACTGAACAACTTTGAGCTATGACCGAACAACAAAGAGAGATGACGGAACAACTTCGAATTCAGAGCGCAAAGATGCAAAAGTTGATATATATATTGTCCGTGTTGCTTGTAATTTATGCCTTAACACTTATGAAGATGTAATAACATAGATATACATTTATGTAAGTTAGAAGTAGAACTAGATGTAAATGTACAAGTTCAACTAGAGTGAACACTTTTGTATGGTGCTGTGATGTTTTAGAGGAAGTTATGTTTTGTTGTGTATTGAAAACTAATTACTGTATATGTACCTCTTTTGTGGTGAGTGGAATGGAAAATGACTTGTTCAAACTTGTACACTTTTGTTGAATACAGGGTAACTATTGAATATACGTTGTTCAATACAGCGAAACTTTTGAATATACATTATTGAATACATGGAAACTTTTGCATATGCATTGTTGAATACAGGGAAACTTTTGAATATACATTGTTGAATACAGGGAAACTTTTGAATATACATTGTTGAATACAGGGAAACTTTTGAATATACATTGTTGAATACAGGGAAACTTTTGAATATACATTGTTGAATACAGGGAAACTTTTGAATATACATTGTTGAATACAGGGAAACTTTTGAATATACATTGTTGAATACAGGGAAACTATCAAATACACATTGTTGAATACAGGGAAACCATAGAATATACATTGTTGAATATAGGAAAACTATTGAATATACATTGTTGAATACAGGGAAACTATCAAATACACATTGTTGAATACAGGGAAACCATAGAATATACATTGTTGAATATAGGAAAACTATTGAATATACATTGTTGAATACAGGGAAACTATTGAATACACATCGTTAAATACAGGGAAACTGTTCAATAAACATTTTTCAATACAGAGAAACTGTTAAATAAACATCTTCATTACAATGTTTTACAAATCCACATGCTGAATCTCAATAACAAAGTTGCAACATAAGTTACAATTTCAAAATCAAAGTTTCAAACTCAGATTAATAGACAACATAAGTTGCAATCTCAAAAACATAGTTACAAACTCAGATTAATAGCCAACATAAGTTGCAATTTCAAAAACAAATTGTTCGAATACATAGAAACTAGTCAAACATGTCCGTAATATACAAGCTTCCCGGTGTGCTTGCATTAGAAGCTGATGGGATTAGAGATGCAGAACCATAAATCTGACTTAGAGCACTCATCCAACTTCCCGATGTGCCACTTATAAAGTCCGATGGAGTAAGAGACGTGTCTCCAATACCATTGGCCACCTGTGACAATTCAATTAAAAGTACATGTTAGAAGAACAAAATTTGTAAAAACAAGCAATTGATGTGAAGTCCTCTTTCGAACACGTACCGGTACATATATACTATTTTGCGTTCCAACCATATAAGGATAATACGGTGTATATGTAGTAGATTTAGCTTGAGCTTGAGCTTGAGCTTCAAATCGAAGCAACTTAGCTGCCTGTATTATTTGAAGAATAATTAAATATTGAAATTTATGAATTGCTTTTATATACTTGAATACAGTTTGTAAAAAAAAAATTTGAATACACATTATGGAACTAAACTTCATATTTCAGATTACAGATTATATAAACTCCATTCAAAATGATCACAATGCCCAAATTTCAGATTTCAGATTACTCATATATATATGGAACTAAACTTCACAAAATGACAAATTACTCATGTTGCAGATTACAGATTATATAACACAATGACCAAATTTCATATTTCAGATTATATAACAATTACTCATATTTCAGATTACTCATATATATTTCAGATTTCATATGTCCAAAATGACAAATTTCAGATTAGGGAAGTTCCATATATATACTCATTTACTCATTTTAAAGTGAAAGAGAACTCCATATATGAGAATTAGCATATATACAAACTCTATATATGGAACTGATTTCAGAATATATACAAACTCTATATATGAGAATTAGCATATGTGAAGGCCATATGTGAACTCCATATATTCAAATTTCAGATTTGTTTTTTCACTTAATATGGAACTGATTTTTTATAAGAAGTTAATGAAATTGATTTTTTACGTCATAAACCACCGATTCAGATTACGTGCGAGACAGAGACACAGCCGAAGATAGAGAGCGACAGAGGAGCTGCAGACAGACGAGGGAGACAGACACGCAGCCGAAGATTGATGAGAGCGACGGACAGAGATACAGGGCGATAGACAGAGGATAGCCAGAGACAGACAAAGGACAGCTAGAGTTCCCAGCGAGCTATGGTCGTCGTTGATGGCGGAGAGCTACGGTGGAGGAGGAGGATGGTGGCAACAAGTGAGGACAGACAAGGGAAGATGGCAGAGACATGTTTGGGAGGGTCTCGCTATATCTTTTGTTTGATTGTTTTTTTTTTCTTTTTTTCTTTTTTTCTTTTTTTCCTCACAGCTGCGTATACACCCATACTCCACATCAGTTGCCACATCACTAAGGGTCCTGGGGGTCAATTTCTACCAGGGGTCTGTAGCGGGATTGTATATTTTTTGCCTTTTCAATTTTTCTCCGTTAGAAATGATGAGTGCCTTTTCACTAGTAAACTTTGTGAAGCGTGAAAAACAGCATTGTGAAGTGTGAATCGTATATGAAACTCTTGATAGGTGGGGTGGGTGCGTGAGTGGGTTAAAGTGAAAAGCAAAAGACAATTGAAATATTACAAACTAATTAAATCAAGATAGGTGTACATTTGTTCAACAACAAAAAAAAAAAAAAAAAAAAAAAGTGCATTATATGTCGGTCAGATTGGTTTCGATGGTTGAAAAACTACAAAAACCACTACTGACCATGAATCTACAAAAATCAAATTAAATGAGTCGCAACCGACCATCTGCCTTGTCGAGGCCATCCGTTATGTGTCGGGTGCGGTTGATTCGGGCAGGTTAGGCAGGTGCGCGGTTTCCATGAACTGCCATAGATTTTACCTTTTTCACTAGTTAATGGATGTGAGAAATTATACATCATATCTCACCCTCTCTCATGCCCACTAGAAAGCACACCTAGACGGGCCTGCTACAGTGAACAAACTGCAAGGCTTGAGCTATAACCTGACCTCAGCCCTGCCCCACCAGGCGTTCCCTCAACAGTACCCTTTGTCATATCTGGATCCACCTATCAGATTTAAAACTGTCTAATATAAAATACATGTGTCTCAAAAAAACAACAAAAAATATATGATAAAGCCCACAAATAAGACTTTCAACATCAAATATAAGTAAATGATCTTAAACCATCACATATATATCACAAATTCTTAATTAAAATGGAACCCATAGCCTTGATATATTTTTGGGGGCTACCAAGAGGGTGAATCTTCTCCGATAAAGCAAGAGCAACTGCATCATCTACTGATTCTTGTAAAGTCATTTATTGAATTTTCACCAGATTGAAAAACACATTATTCTTGCTTCGATCCTTCACAAATTATTATTATTTGTCATACATAAGGTATAAATGAGCAGCTGAATTCTAAAGCAGGTTCAAAACGAACAAACACAGCTAAACAAGGGTAAGAAAAGATAAATACGGGCTAGAACCGACTGGTCTCTCTCTCTCCATCTGCCTATAGCAAGAGCACATGCCTCCGAAATGTCAGTCTGATATCCTAATCTCAACTCCTAAGATTTCCTTCACCTGCTCGTACGTCACAAAAGCAATAGCTATGGATGGGACCACCTAAACAAAATAACAAAGTTAACAAACATCATCAGAGCCAGATTCATTTGCAATTTCAGAAAGAGCTCATATATTGTATGTATAAGAATTAAACATCGCTAACTCAAATTCAGTATGGCTCATCCACCAAGTAAATATGATACTGACCTTCACTGAATTGGGGACCAAACCCTTGTACAGTGCTCTAAAACCCTCGTGGCGAACGGTTTTTCTAAAAGCATCAATCATGCCTGTATATTCAAGTGGAGCCTTGCTCCTCCCATCACCTGTGATAACAGAAGCAGCATTGTTCCATCCCACCATTTGCATTCTACGACGAATGACATCAAGAGGGTAAGCAACAGTTTGGCCAACAGTGCCTGCTGCAGCTCCACATGCAAGCCTAGTGGTCACGCTCAACTCAGAATCTTCAACAATTCCAAAAGGTCTAGTTTTAATCAACCAATCCTTTAAAGATTCATAAACAGCAAAGTTGAGACCCACGTATGGAATCTGCAAAGACCAAATCAGAGCATAAGCACCATGCACATGACTCAAGAAGAAAACATAAAATTTTCCCTGGTGTATGATTTTAATTATGTCTGTGGATAGGGGCAAGAGAGGTTTCTGCCTCTTAGTGCCTTAGTCCTGGAAAATGTTACCCAATAATTCTCATCTCCCTCAGTCATATGCCAATAGCACGACAAATTGAATTGCCTCACCATTCTGGTCATCTCACCTGCTCTTTCCCCACCGAATACAATATCAAGAAGGAATGTTTTCAGTAATGGTAACTGGTTAAATTTTTATGATATTTTGTTAATGATCTCCCGGGGAATGCCAAGATGGTACCCTTGTCATGTATAAAGTTCTGGACTGAGCACACACTCAAGTGTTGTTGGCCGTTTCGAGATTGTTCGGTATGATTCAACATGTATTCCTAGTTAGCTGACATGTTGAGGTCTGTATGAAGATGGATAAGGTACACGTTCCGGCATACATGTCTATGTGGGTGCATGGGTATCTACATATAAAAACAATCGACAATTCCCTTGGATGGTTAGAAGTTGAGAACTTCCATGGATACATGAAATCATCACGATTGTACTAATTACTTCCTTGCAAGAACTATAGGACTTACAACTCCAATGACAGAAGGAAGCCAGCCCTTGTACAAAGCCCGTGGGCCTTCCTCCCGGAGCACTGTTGATAAAGCATGGAACATTCCTCTGTACCGGTAGGGAGACTTATCTGTCTGCAAAATTAAGAAAAAAAGTAATATGGGGTCATTCTAATGCAAATACAGCGCAAGAATGTACCCAATATTCACAAAGAAAACCCTAGACACTTCCAAAGAGATAATCATTCTTGAGGAGACACAAAGTACCTGCACAGTAAGCCTGCCACGAACCATGTCCATAGGGTAAGTTGCAGACATGGCAATTATTCCAGCACAAGCACCAGCTCCAAGGCGCAATAAAGGAGTGAGCTGAGCATCTTCTGTAATAACATAACAAAAATAATGTCTCAAATGATCCCCATATTCTCTGTCATGTGTCATCTATAAAATAATTTATCAACAAATCAAAGAAAAGGCTCGGAGCAAGCCAAGTCTTACATTCTATACTATGATATTTGATAGCATAGATGGGGAGTAAGCACACAATGAAATAGGGAGAGGGTCACATTTCTAAATTACACCCCTTTAGATTACTATTAGGAGCTGCAAACATACATAACATGGACACCAAGGCAATTTTTACAGACATCAATAATTTGTACACTGAATAATTATAAAATACTTTATTTAGGTGGCATTCAGTAACTGGGATGGTGCATGTAAATATGGTGCAGTAAATAAAATGTGTTGACTTCTGTATATCCAGCCTGTGATGAACTTATGCTAACCATGCTGTTTCACATCTAAAAATTTCTCAGATTTTTTCAAAACTTACAAGACTTTCTGAATCTCTAAATTAATAGAAGTTCTTTATTTACCAATTGTCACAATGTTCAGTCCTATATTAAATTTAAATCCATATCCAGCCAGCCAGACACAACCTATCAACCATAATCAGATGGAAACAGGGAACATTTAACTATTCATGATGCAGAACCCCCCACCACTGGATGAACAGTAATTAGAGAACAGAAACCAAAAAACATTGAAAATAGAAATAATGAATGGCAATAGAAGGTGAACAATTGTTAGTTCTTTGGTACAACCTTAATACTAAAATTTTTTAATGCCGTAGAATATAGTCTTAAGATGAGCAACAGATATGCAGCTAATTAAATTCCACAGCATGCAGCCAGTAAATAAAAAGAGAACATTTACAAGCACTTAGTAAACAATCTGCTAAATCCTCACACAATAATTAACAAGTTAAGTTGGATTTTCAATTATTGAGAATCAAAATGGCAACTGACCTCCTAAAATGTGCACGAACTAATGAAATGACATGTAAATCTACAAATTTCTGGATACTGAACACAGAAAACAATAAAACAGAAAGAAATAAACATGGACTTACCATTGCCAGTTTTCTGCTGGTATAACAATAAGATACCCCTGTTGCAATATAACAAGTAACAGTCAGCAAAGAGAGGAAGATACAGAATAGGTGAACAATGCAGTCAGCAGTGTGAAAAAAATAAAATAATAACGTTACTGCAACCACTTTGATCTCTATAACCCATAAAAGGCGTAGCAAGTGCAGCTTTAATGGCATCACCCCAACAAGGGGTCTGATAACAAAAGCACCTCAAATTACTTTGAACGTGCATTGCCCAATACCAAATTCAACCAAATTGACAAGTGAGCAACCAAAATAATACATTTGAGAGTTCTCCAATTTAGAGGAGCCCACCAACATTTTGAAGCACATCAGAATGCACATTCTTATCTTTTAGTTCATTCCTTTTGGATGGGTGTTGAGAACCACCACAGTGAGTTACAGACACCAATGTTTCATAGGTAGTTCGATCTTGTCGTTACAAAATTTGTGTAGGCCACTGAAAATGACCAAAGATCGGTTATGGACAGAAAGAAAAACAAATGTCTATCCCCAACCTTTAACCAGCAAAACAAATGCGCTTTTAAAGAGGCTAAGACATCAGATAAGGAGGGAGGTAACAGAAACAACTAAACAATTCATATGTGGCTTTGAATTTGAAGTCTATTTGTTACATATACATATTTTCCATTTCATATCTGTTCATCTTCTCAATAAACTAATAAATTTAATGCAAAGAAGTGTTCAGATCAAACTAAATAAAAAAAAAGAACTAAGGAGAGCAGCCAAGAGTAGAAATCTAATCAAAGAATTATTATATTCGTGAAGGAATCAGGAAATTTCATACTTGGAAGCTTGCTCATAGCTGAAGAACTTGACCGCTGAGTTTGGGACAATACGGGCACAATTTGTACCATTGCCTTTAAATAATCCTCTTAAGCCCTCAGTCCTCCATATATATTTCAAGCCTTGAACTGTACCATTGTACTTTATGTTATGTGGGTTTTGTACCTGCACATCATAAGAGCTAATTAAAAAAAAGAATATAGTAAATATTAGTGCATGAAACAAATATGCAACGCATACTACATAAAATAGAAGTTTTCAATTGTCTTGTTATATATAAAACGTGTAGATCCTTTTCAAGAAAAACAAATGTACAATTTAAATATCAGAAACATTTAAGATTCAACCCCATCATCATCCAATGAGCCAAGAAACACACACACACAGAGAACAGAAGTGCCCTTGAAGCACTGTGACTGGTGCGTACTATCAAATTAAAGAGGAAATTTCAACAGGTGGCCATAGCACCAAGTCAATGAACAGTTATGCTCCAACATATGCCTTAAAATGAGCACAGACAAAAGAAGGATGTTAAGACGGATGACTGGTAACATACAACACAAACTCATATGCAGGAAGAAACCTGAGATGGATGACTGGTAAACACATAAATGCACACATGCAGTCAGAAATAATGTTTTTATGTTACGAAGGAATTTGTAATAAACTCAAGGTAGCACCAATAAATAAAACCAAAGAAACTCATCAGTGGTAGTCTGGTTATGTGTATCAAAAACCAATGATTGCATTGCCAAGAATGCACAAAATAATTGAAGCAAAACAGCATCAAGGAAGGTAATTTTTTTTAAAATCAAATAATTGAGGATGATTGAAAATAGATGACTGCAGGTGATTAATAAGATGATAAAGTTCTAAATAAATGCTACATGAAATTTTAAAAAATAAATATTGGAGTTGACAACCCCAGAAGTTTGGATGTAACAAGGCAATTAGAGATTGGGTTCAGCATATGCTCAAATTACAAATGGTAACCATCATTTTCAACATTGAAAAGCAAGATAAGCCACGAAGTGCGATGGAGCATGATCAAATAAAGTGAAACTTTTTCAACATTTCCTATCACCTTGGCAGCTGCTTCTGACAAAATGCAACTAGTTGGACCCCCACATGCTTCGTGCGTGGGGGTCACATAATTGTTGGCACCACTAGAAAATAAGGGATTGATTGGGGTGTCCTCAATAAGTGCATTTTTTGACTTTTTGGACTAAAAAGTTGAGGAAAAAATATGGTTGTTTGGGTAACTTTCTGACTTTTTACGAAAAAATTTATATTACGTTGAATGAATTAAGGGACAGCGTGTGCAGAGTATAGTGTAAGAGATGGTTCCCTCCTTTTCAGGGCATTGAATTGGACGGTGCTATTCGGCCCATGAGGGCCCACCACGGATCCCGTTTTGCTAATCGAAACCGTTCAATGTGTAAAACTCGTTGAGTACTATGTATTTGAAAAAAATCGCGTTGATTGGATATCGATAGCTATCTGATCGGATTAGTTTTTTTTCCAACTGTTAACTATAACACCATCCATTTTTTATACAAAACTGATTTGATCATGTAGTTAGTGATATCCGATCAACGTGATTTTTTACAGGCATATAGTACTTGACAAATTCTACACATTCAACGGTTCAGATTATCAAAACGGGAGCTGTGATGGGCCTCCACCGGCCGAACAACACCGTGTTGTTTGTGCACCTCGCCTATGCAATTTTTCCAAAAAAGTCAACTATGTCTGTAGGGACGTCAGAGTTGTTTGTAATAATTTTGTGTAAAATTAAATTTTTTATATATTTTTTTTATGAATAGTGATAACTTTTTAATTTTTTTAGTAACTTTTTAGCTTTTTGGACTTTTTTGGGTATCCCAAACCAGGCCTAAATATGATAAAATTTTATTTTACATCCTCAAATATTCATCAAAAACACCCTTACAAGTTATCTGAAAAACTCCGTAAAACTACAACACAATAAAGATAGAAATCATAACAGAGCCATATGAAGGAGAGGTTTCCTTCCTTGAACATACTCTCTACTACCTTAGGCTCACAAATAATGAGATATATATCGGGAGAGAAACAACTGACTTATAGAGATATATATATATATATATAGAGAAGGAGAGAGAGGAACAATTGACTCAAAAGGTAATGAATAAAGATTAAGGCCAAGTTTGGCATATTGCAAAAAAGTCAAAAAATTACTCAAAAAGTTAAAAAATTAACACTATTCACCAAAAGTCAACAATTACGGCTGCACAACTCCCAATCCTAATTTTTCCTCCCAATTCAAATTTTTTCCTACAAATCAATTTTTACAATTTTTTATTACACATTTTTTCATAAAAAGTCAAAAAGTTAACCCAAACATCCATATTTTCTTCCTCAATTTTTTAGTCCAAAAAGACAAAAAGTGCACTTATTTAGGACACCCTAAACAATCCCCAAATACTATCAAGTTTCCGATTTCTTCCTTCATAAATTTTATACTACCTTACACCTTGTGCATTAAATGCATTCATGCATGCCATCATATAATATTCTATTATTTATTATCATTTTAGAACTTTTCATTTTGGTCCTTTATTTATGAACTTCGCCAGAAAATGAGTTCTACAACCCACTACTACTTCTTGCTTCTTTTCTTTTTTCCATATCAACACATTTTTTAATATAATATATTAGTTAACACAAACATTAATTTAATATTTAAAATACATAGTGCATCAAAATGAACCAACAAACAAAAATCATCACTATAAAAAGACACCAAATTTAATGTGAGTCGGTTAACTCAGCCTACATCCACAGATCTCTCCTATTTGTCTACTATATTAAATAATGGGTTTACACAAAATATATCTAAATAAATGAACCCACATAAAGTGAACTGAGTAATCTCACTTTCTTTAAGGAGAGAGATTCAAGTCCTTAGCAATTGGTAAAATTTTCAAAAACCATTTGGTGACCATCTCAAATGACTCGTCTCCCCTATTTAGGATACAACAGCCTAACTATATATCGTATTGGCCCAGAACTATACATCGTATTGGCTCAAACATGTACGTTGTATTGGATTAGACTATCTTTGTTCAAGAGGTTAAACCCCAAGCCCCACCATAAAAACACTCTTACAAACCATCTGGAAATTTTGTATAAAAAAACACAATAGAAAATATATAAATATGGAGAGAACCAAAACATGAAGGACAATTTTCTTCCTTGGTCAGACTCCCTAGTTCAACATAAAGACAAGAAATATATATATATATATATAGAGAGAGAGAGAGAGAAGAGAGAGACTTAACCGACTTAATTGGTTAAAAAATAAATATTAATTCTTAAATCTTTTATTATTCAATCCTTTTTTTTTTTTTTTGTTGAGAAACTTTCATTTGGTCTTTACTTCACCACGTGGTGCTAAAGAACCCCTTTGTAAAGACAACTCAAAAGCTTTCCAACTCCACCACAATAGTATGCATTGCTATAGAAAGACAAAACGTAATAGACGAAACTCACTCTATATGTTCGCCATGTTTGATAAGAGATAAACATTGAGTTAGATTTTTAGGCAAATTGTACCCCTGCCCCCTGAACTTTGGTCTTTATGAGTTACCAACTCAACTTTGTGTTTACACTCATTTGCACAAGAATTTTTCTTAAGATATGGAAAAATTAGTAGGTAGTCCTTGAGTATCATATAACGCATTAGGTGAGAGGTGAGTTTTTTTTTTTTTTTTTTTGATATGTAAGGCATCCTAAGATAGCTTGCGTGCACCAAACTAAGTCCTTACAGCCAAAATAAGCCTTCCAAAACAAGATTTAAGCCATGCAGTCCGTTGCCCCAAGAGGTTTTGCTAGCGAGGAGAGTCAAAATGCCACATGGTACTATGGAACTAGTGAAGTGAAATTATGTGGGTTTATTTAGAAGCTTTCATCAATTTAATTCATGAAGTTCTAATTATGACATATTTGCCCTTCAATTTTTTAAATTGTGCTAAGCACAGACAATAATATATAATTAACGAGATTTAAGTCTTCAGAGGTTGGTAAATTTTTCAAGAACCATCTCAATTGACTTGTCTCCCATAGAATACAACAGCCCAACTAATATGTCGTATTGGCTAAGACCAACTTTTACAAGAAGTTGAGCCCAAAGCTCCATATAAACACCCTTAAAATTTATCTAAAAAAATTGTATAAGAAACACAACATAAAATATAGAAATATGAAGAGAGAACCAAAACATGAGGGAAAGTTAGTCCTTGATCATAGTCCCATAAGTTTCAACACAAAGACATACATATATATATAGAGAGAGAGACTCAACCGACTCAATTGGTTCATTCACAAATAAATATTTTATTATTCAATCATATGTTCTTTTTTTGAAACTATCACTGTCTTTCACTTCACGTGGTGCTAGAGAATCCCTATGAAGACAACTCAAAAGCTTTCCAACTCAACCACAACAGTACACACCTCTATAGAAGATGAAATGTAATAGAAGAATAACAACACTTCTGAAAGTGTATCCATTTCAATAAGGACATATTCCGCATAAGAAGTGTTAGGACAAGCAAAGCTTCTGTTCTTTTTAATATGGTTAAATACTAACATACTGCATTCGTAATATTTATTCTTCCAAAGGTTGAACTTTTATGTGGGTTTTTCATTTGAATGCTTAACACCATCACAAACGGTGTACCCTACTGCATATTTTAACTACTCCATAGGGAAGAACTGATAAATACAACAATACACCCAGATTCAAAGTTGATCACAAAAGCTTTGATCATTAGCAAGGAGCAAAATTTCTGCACTAATTTAACAAAGAACATGTATTGGGCATTCAATAGGAAAACGAACTGAAATTCTTTAGGATGAGCATATCTTAACCTGAAGCAATATTTTTAATCGTTCCAGTGGGGCTACAGCAGTGCGTGATCTGCAACATTAATCGGAAATCAATGGAGGATTAATGTGGCAATACTGTAAACACAAATAAATTAATTAACTTGAATCTGAAAATTAAAATTTCAATTATTTTCATTAGGGTCTCCGCCTTAATAAACAAACATAATTTGATGTTTCTCACTTTCATTAAAACCAATTGAACCAAAAAATTAGAAATGTCCGCCGCTTTCCCATACCTAAATTTCACACCAACCAAACAATACATATAAAAATGGAAAATTTTCAATACACAAATAATTTGATCCAACTAGAATCTGAAAATTATATTTCAATTATTTTCATTGGCTCCACTTTAATAAACACAAATAATTTGATCCAACTAATTAAGGTTTATCACTTCCATTAAAACCAATTTAACCGAAAATTAGAAATGTCCGCTGCTTTCCCCTACCTAAATTTTCTCAGCAACCAAACAGAGCACCAAACAATACATATAAAATCGAAAATTTCCTAGAAAGAGAAATAAAACTCACACGCCTCCGGCTACTCCTCCGGCGACGAGAGACTTGCAGATACTGAGAATCGCATAGCTCGGAGCCTTAACACCTTCTCTCGCGAACTTAGCCTCTTCAGCGAGATTCACGATCGTCGAAACCGCAGATTCACCGGTCTTCACGTCCTCAGAAGCCATCGAAAAAACTCACCAGAAAAAAGCTCAGTCGAGTCAAAAACTCCGGAGCAGACCTAGGTCGAAAGATCGAGATCGATCGCGAGGGTCGGTGATTAACGAAGAGAGGGAGTCTGCATTCCTTCTCTCTCTCTTCTCCGAGCGTCGCTGGCGGCGGCGGCGGCGGCGGCGGAGAGCGAGAGAGAGAGAGAGACAGAGAGGGGGTTTTCGGAGATGGAAATGCTGCACACAGTGGAGTCTGCTTTTTTTTAGGTGACGAGTTTTGTTGTCAGATGTATGCGTATGTCAGGTGGTTAGTAGACTCACACGCGCACCACGTGTCGTCTCGCGTGTGCCACGTCGCATCTCCTAATTTACGAAAAATTGTGCAGTGCTCCTACACCACTCAATAATCTTTCCTAATCTAGGGTAAGATTTCTCTCCAATTCGAGGTTGGACTAAAACGTATTATTGGATTTGCAGAGAGCATCATCAATTTTGTTTTAATAATTTTAATCGTTTAATACGTAAAATTTATTAATTAATTTCTTGTAATAAAAAATTATGTTAATTAAACATCGATATTCATTTAATCAAATTATATTTTTGTTAATGATAAATATGATTTTCAAAATAAATTTTTGATAGAAATCGAATCCAATTAAGTGGGTATCGATATACGATCAATGTAATTTTTTACATTAATAAAATATTCGATAAATTTTACACATTAAACGATTCAAAATATTGAAGAAGTATTATAGTGGCCCCATGGACCCGAACATCACAATTCAATCCATATAGTGGACTAGAGAAAATATGTTTCCATAACTTATCATTACCAAAAGAAGGTTAGACGTATAATTATAAAATCGTATTTAGGGTTAATAAATTAAGGTGTCTTAAGTTGCTGTTGTTTATTATTATTATTATTATTATTATTATTATTATTACTATTACTAAGGGGTTGTTTGGGATGACCTAAATAAGTGTATTTTTTGTCTTTTTACGAAAAAATGTACAAAAAAGTAGAGGTGATGTGATGAAAAAAAGATAAAAATATGAATTATTTTGTGTATGTCAAACTTGGCCTTAATATAGGACTGGATAGGTGTTGTGACATAACACGTGTTGTGAGACTCATTAGGTTGTGTCTCGAGATTATTTTTATAATTTAAACTATTTATATTATAAAATTTATTGAATAAATCATATATTAAAAAAAAAAATTAGTTGAACATATTTAATTTCATAGTAATCTCATAATAACATAACACTTATTTTTTTAAAAAAATAAATAATTCTCATACAGATAAGGGGAAACTAAAGTAATGTAAACAATAATTAGAAACGACTCAAGCGGCGAAGCCTAGAACTAGTGATGATAAAGCCTAGAACCGATGATGATTAGATGATATAATTTTGACTTCTTTTAAAAAAGTAATTACATTTCATGATTACATATGTCTGATTAAATTAGATTTTTTTTTTATAAATAATATACTAATAAACCTTATATTATAAATGGTTTAAATTATTAAAATATATTTGAAATATACTACCACGAGATCTTATAGCATGGGTGTTGTGTCACAAGGCACAACACCACCCCAACTTCATTAATATGTGATCCGGGCACAAAATATGATCCGTCCAAAATATGAATTTAGGAGTTGTTTAGCATTAGATTTTTTTGGTTAAAATAGTTAAAAATTTAAAATATCCAATTACATCACTTTTTTTATTTTAATACACATTTTTTTTTGGTAAAAGAAAAAAAACATAAAATTAACTAAACTAGTCAATTTCCAAACAGTTCAAGTGTTTAGGTTCCTTCAAATTGTGTATACAGTTTAAATTGGACTTTTCAATAGGGATGGCTATTTTAATTGGATTCGTGAGGTCCGCCCATACACATCCTAATGGGGCAAATTTCACCAGTTCCAACACTCATGTAGGGCGGGGGTTACCCACACGTATATATAAATAAATAATATATATGTATACATATAATATATAATTAGATATAAGAAAAGAATACTAAAAGTGTGTGATTCTATTTAAATATAAATAAATAATAATTATAAAAGTCTCATTGTTTATATATATAGAAATAAGGAAGATGATTTAGTGTGCTGAGAATTTAAATGATTCTCAATTTTTGTGGCTATTTGAAATATGGTCAGATATTTGCAGGTATCAGGTATTCGCTGGTATCCGCAGGGGCCGGGGGGAGAAATGGAACACCCGCCTTAAACCCGCCCCGTGGCCATCCCTACTCTTCAATAGTGGAGGTTGAGATTAAGGCCCCATTTGGTAACACTCACTTTTAGTCTAAAAGTCAAAAGTCACTAAGAATGTCACAAAAATTATACTCCTACCAAAAAAATTTAAGATTTCATTTTTTTCTCTATTTTTTGCAAGTTTTTTGGTAAAAATAAATTAAAAAAATCATTGCAAACATATTAATTTTTTTATCTCATATTTTAGTTAAAAAATTACAAAAAATAGTGTTTTCAAACAAGGCCCAGGTTGTCAATTTCTTTCTCTACCACCGCATGCCTTCCTCGGTTCCTATCTCCTATGAGTTCGCCACTCCATTCCTACCTTATTTGAGTTTGTCCCTGCATTTCTTTTTCTGCTGTCGCCTTGTACATATTTAGTATCTCAATAAGAGAGTTTGTCCCAATTATATTTGTTAAATTTATATAATTTTTTTAATATAATAAGATTATAACACTAAAATATTATACTAAAATTTTCATTTTTACTTTCATTTATTATTTTATGTCTTTACTAAAATGCCCTTTCCCTTTACTTTTCCGACTTGTCACGCCTCGAATATCATGAAAGGTGAGGCTAGGAGCTTTTAGAATTGAGTTTGGGCTAATTATTGGGATTACCCTGGTGGCCAGAGCCCATGAGCTTTGTTTAGAAGTCATAGATTAATTTTCCCACCCAATCTAAGGTCTAAGGTGCATAAAAGAAAAAACAAAAAAAATGAGTTGGGCTTGTATTAAATGTCAATTTGTTGACCCAAAACTGAGGTACATGATAAGGCCCAATTTGGAACACAAACTAAAAAGTAAAGAAGATCCAAGATAAGAGCCCATCAACACTGGTTTTTTTAAGCAAACAATTGCATGGGTTCCTGGCCTAAAGCCTTTAAAACAAGGATAAATCACAAATACATTTTTGAAATTTACTTAAAATATAAATTGACTCATGTAATTTTAAAAATTACGTCACGCCCCTTGACTTTTTGAATTTCATTACATTGGCCCATTTTATTAATAAATTATTAAGTCAATTAACAATTTTTAATGATATCAAAAATTTATTTCACTTAATAATTCAACTAATTTTATTATCGTATAAGAGAGCAGTTAAAAATTTTATTTTTTCAATTAATTCTGTTTAATAAAAAATTCTAACAAAGGAGTATTTGTATTTTTTCAAACCATAGAAGGCAATTCATAATTTAAGCAAATCTCAAGAAGTGTGTTTATAATTTATTCAAAAAGAAAATGGACTGTGGACTCTTTTGGTACAGTGGAAAACACTGGACCCTTACGTTGTATTTGGTTAAGAGATTTGAGAAGAGATTTAGAAATAAAAAGGAAAAATGTGTAAGAAATTAAGTGAAATATAAGTATATCTTATTTGCATTTTGTCTACATTTTCTATTTCTATTTCCAAATTTCTTTTGAATTCTCTTACCAAATACAACATTAAAGACCAAACAAGCGCATTGCTCGGATTCGAGGTTCGGGATCTCTTTCCTCTATCCCTCCCCCCAACAAAAAAAAAAAAAAAAAAACTCTACCAAAAAAAAAATTTGTAATGATTTATCATTTTTTAACCTTACAATGGCCTTTTATTAATTTGTAGGATTATTAGTAATGGGTTAGGGGTGAGATTATTAATCCAATATATTAATCCAATTGGATAGTGAATACTACACTAATTTAATAGGATTATTAATACTTCACTATTAGTCTTATGAATCAAACATGACCTTTTGGTACAGTGGAAAACACTGGACTTTGTATTTGGTTAAGAGATTTGAGAAGAGATTTAGAAATAAAAAGAAAAAATGTGTAGGAAATTAAGTGAAATATAAGTATATCTTATTTACATTTTGCCTACATTTTCTATTTCTATTTCCAAATTTCTTTTGAATTCTCCTACCAAATACAACATTAAAGGCCAAACAAGCGCATTGCTCGGATTCGAGGTTCGGGATCTCTTTCCTCTATCCCTCCCCCCAACAAAAAAAAAAAAAAAAAACTCTACCAATGACAAAATTTGTAATGATTTATCATTTTTTAACCTTACAATGGCCTTTTATCTTATTTTTTTATGGTTCAATATTTGCACAATTATAGAATCATTTGAACATCTCGAGGTATGACAATCTTGACCCTTCTGATCCGTGTAAATTAAAATGGAAAAATTAAGACGTAGATGATTTGGTGCTGAAAATAACGTATAATGAGTAACAACAATGATACATCCTCCTAAATTTTGTGTTATGAACCAGCTTTAGTGAGGTGGAAAAAAAAAAAACACAAGATCAAAAGGTCACATCATATAAAATCCATACACATATTAAAACTTTTAAAATTCTTAATTTGGAACTATCAATCATTTCTCAAATAGTAAATGGTCACCCCTCCCCCCAATCATCATCAGGAATATTCCTTGTTTAATCCTTTGGGCCACACTTTCAAACTAAAAAAGTTAGAAAAAGTGGAATTGGGCCTAAATGGCAAGAACTATGGGTGGCTTTTGGCCACAATTCTAAAGATAGTCACAAACAAAGGGATTGCCACTAGGGCATTTAAAGCAAAGCAATTAATTAGGTTGGCCACTTTTAGACTGCATGTTAATGTCGACGCATGATAAGGAGCTTAAATAATTGTATATTTTGAGAAGTCTTAAAAACATGTGTTTACAAAATCCTAAACAAGATGAGTCTCGCAACAATTGCCTTGGAGACACTATTTAAAGTGTAATTAATAATGGTTTATTACATTTAATGAGTCCTGAATTTGTTGAATTCTAAATAATGATTGTTTTTATGCTTGAAAATATGAAGTATAATCCCAACATAATATTAACCTAACATGATTTTCTTACATTTTGGGGTAATCGACGTTATTGAAAAACGTGCTCCGATAATTTTAAAGTAAATCCAAAGCTATTTTCCATTCACATGAATGCATAATCCCAACATAATCATCATTTGAAATTGGTGATTAACATTATTTGTACAAATGTTTCATTAGTGAAA